CCCCAAAACCCCAAAACCCCAAAACCCCAAAACCCCTTAAATTTCCTACTATTTGACAATAATATTATTTCATTTACTTTATAAAATGTTTGGAAGGATATCAATAGTATTCGTATCCCTGCTTGTCTACTTTGTAGCTGCACAAGAAATAGCTACTGCACCAGCAGAGATAAAGGCCAGTGATGATGGCACAACTGGAGATGTTATTAAAGTGCCAACTTGTGATAAGACATGCTTTGATGAATGTACTTTGAAGGACATTGGCATCACTGAATGTGGAGCTCTGTGCTCTTGTGAAGCTGAAGCTGAACAGTTGACCACTGATCTTGTGAAAGATAGCAGGTGATGGATGCAATGTCGTCAAGATTGTATTTTGGATATCTTCACTGAAGACTCTGAAGAAAACTTTGGACAAAGTAATTGCTTCGGAGAATGTGCTTGTGTCTGCAACAGACAATGTACTCAAAGCTGTACTAACTCTAAGTCCAATACAAACAAGTTCTGCCTGCAGTCATGTGGATGTCCATCTAACAAGAAGAGATCTGACCTCTTGTTGAAAAAGCAAAAAGAATACTTTGATCTTCCCCTTGACAATAAAACTGATGATGAGCTGGCCCAAGAATTTGCTGGAAAGATTGCAGACCTTGTAACCCACAAGGATACTGAAAAACAGACTAAGGAAAGACAAGTCCTTGACAAAAAACTTCGTAAGATTGAAAGAAAATGGGACGAATATGCTGAAAATGCGAAAAATCTTGGAATAAACGCTACAGTATTCTGTAACCAGACCTGCTCTCATGATTGATTCCTTGAGGCTGACCAATCAACATACGAAGTGCTGACTAAGTGCTTAATAAGCAAATGCCAATGTTTCAGACCTAAGCTCCCTGATGCTAAAGATTACATTTCATTTGAATCCTTGATTGTCCTCAAAAATATTATCACAGAGGAAGAAGAAAAATCAGAACAAGTAGCTGATGCTTATGAACAAATTTCGAAAGAATATGAACACCAAGTTGATAAGTTAGATGATACAGCAGACTTGATTGATGAAATCATCGAGGATACCATCAAAGCTGCTAATACTACTACATCTGAGGAAGAACCAATTGTACCTGAAGAGCCAACTCCACAAAGGCCTGACACTCCTACTGAAGAATCACAGCCAACTCCAGTTGAAGAGCCTAAGGCTGAAGAGACATCTCCAGCTAATAGCACAGAGCCAGTTACTCCAGTTGTACCAGAAGATACCCCAGCTGCTCCAACAAATAATACTGAGGCAGCTACTCCAACCGAAGAACCAGCTACTCCAACCGAAGAACCAGCTACTCCAACCGAAGAACCAGCTACTCCTGCTGAAGAGCCTGTTGCTCCTGTTGCTCCTGTTGTTCCCGAAGACACTCCTACCAACAAAACTGAGCCAGCTACTCCATCAGAAGAGGCACCTGCTACTCCAGAGGAGAAGCCAACTACTCCAGAAGAAACCCCAGTCAAACCTGAAGAACAACCAGTCACTCCCGAAGAGACTCCTTCCCACAACCAGACCCACTCTGAAATCTTAGACACTGTCACGAAGAAGGCCCAAAATTGTAACCTGACTTGCTTCGATGAATGCCTTGACCTCAAAAAGTATGTTCCTTATCCAGCCATTGAGCAATGTGTTGACCTCAGATGTCACTGCTCTTTCAACGCCATAACTAGCAATGTACAATCCTTACTATCCACCACTTCGAACGAAGATATTATGGCTCAGATGAGACTTTCAGCACAAGAGAAACCAACTTCTTCTATCTTTGGTGCATTCGTAATGTTCCTGCTCATCACCGTGGCTACACTTGGCGTTGCCTACCTTGTCTACAGATACATTGGTCAAAATAACAAGAGAAGAGCTTATAGTGACTATGGAGTGAATGACAGCCAAGCTTATGAGAGGCTTGCTTAAGTTCTGAGATAATATACCAATTGTTCAATCAGATCTGCATTAAAAGGGGTTTTGGGGTTTTGGGGTTTTGGGGTTTTGGGGTTTTGGGG